TTCCTTTAATTTCTCTATGCATGTTGTTGCTGTTGTTCAAATTGATACCAAGTATTTGAAATTATCTACCTTTTTAAAATTCATACTTCAAACTTTCAGGTTTGACTGGTCTACGTTTCTTCTAGATAGTGTCATAAGTTTGGTCATTTCTTCGTTGATACATAAACCCATGTTTTTGCTGGGTTCTATTAGTTTAGTAAGTAAGAGGGTAATTTCTTCTCGAGTATTCCCTAAAGGTCTAAAAGAACTATATCATCAGCATATGCTAAAACAGTTTCTCCAAAAATAACTTCCATTATTTGGTCTTCATAAGAATCCCATATAACTTTTTCTAATCCCAGGTTAAACAGTGTTGGAGGTAGAGCATCTCCCTGTCGCAACCTAAGAAATTATCAATAATCTCTGTAGAAAACGTACTTTCAGTAACGTCATGTCATTACATATTTTTACTACATTTACATATTTTTGAGGGACTCCAAAATGTATTATTGATTTCCTTACTTCCTGTCTATTCACACTATCATAAGACTGTTTATAGATTTGTAGTCAGCAAATACCATACATAGGTCCTTGTCAAACTCATTATATTTTTCCAATTTATGTCTTAAGGTAAATATATGGTCGACAGGGGATTTCCTATTTATAAAACAACATTCGTATCTTCCTTTGGTGTCCTCTGCGTACGGCGTTTTTCTTTCCAAAAGGAGAGTTGACAATTACTATCTTATAACAGGTATCCAATTATGAGATTCCACTGTTTTTTTTTTTTTTAGGTCTAATGTGTCTCCTTTTATATATTGGGCGTAATATTGCCGTGTTCCACTCTCTTGGCATTACATCGGTTTCCCAAATTACCTTAATCATTTTCTAAAATTCACTTATAATCATTTCTCCTCCATTTTTTAGTAATTTCAATACTACATTGCTTTAACCAGGTGATTTGGTATTTTTTAATTTTTTTATGATGTTATAGATTTCCTGTTTGGTTGTAGTTTCAATATATGGTTCCACCGTACTATATTGCATAACTATTTCTTCGTGTGTTGAAGTTGGAGGTGTTATATTTAATAGATATTCAAAATATTCACGTAATTCATTCCTCAAAATCCTAGTCTGTAGTTTATATCCCCGCTTAACGCTGCCAGTCTTGCTGAAGAATCTTCTGGGGTTATTTTTATTTTCTTCAATTTCCTTAATCTTTTTTTTTTTTTACCAATCTCTTTACGCATCTTAGTTCTGTATTGGTTTCTTTTTTAGTGTTTTTATATCTTTCCATGTTTATGTTACTTGGGTCCTTGACAGTTTTTTCTCGTAAGCGGTTTATCCTGTCTATTGCTTCCTTGCACCTATCATTAAACCATTCTTTTCTTTTTTTATAATCCCTAAGCAATTATTAGCACTATTGACTACTGCTGTTCTGATTCTATCTCATATCCGTTCAGCATCTTCATCTGTATGTCGGTTGGATTTTGTAATTCTTGTAGTGTTTTACAGATGTATTCTTCCAGAACCTTCCTTCCTTACAGTTTTTTTATACAGCATTTTACGGATTCCTTACTTTTTCTTTTCCCCGTCTTTCTGCCAGTCTAATTTTAAGTATTGTAATTTTAAGGTAATGGCCCTAGTCTACACCTCTATAGCTCTTGATACTTTGTATGCATCCTTTATGCTTATTCTGTATCATTACATGATCAATCTGGTTTTTAGTTATTTCATTAGGTGTTATCCAAATTTGTTTGTATATATCTTTCCTTGAGAAGTATGTACTACTAAAACCTTCCACTAAACACAGGTTGATCAACCTGGTTCCGCTATCGTTACTTACGTCATGTATGCTATTATGTTCAATCGTTGGTCTTCTTTTCCTTTTTTTTGATTAAAGTCGCCTATTAATTTGATGCAGCTGTTCGGTTTTGTGACAAGTATGTGCTCTAGTTCATCGTATAATTCATTCTTAAGATTTTCTTCTTCTCTTTTGTTGGTGCATATGCATTTATTATAAGAATGACAAAAATGCAACCGGTGAGTCGAATATAGCATATTCAGTTATTTATTGATGTGAATTATTTAACATGTGGTAACTTATCGTCACTCACTACAAATTCCACACCATCTTCATGTCTTCCAACCTTTCTTTCGCTATAAAATATAATTTTATCTTCTTTTTTCATATTTCCATCGTTTGGCCATCTAATTTCTTGCAGAGCTGATATGTTTGTATTATATTTTTTCATAGCATCCAGTAAGTACTGTAACGCTCCCGGTTTGTTCAAAGTCCTAGCATTCAATGTTATCATTTTTATTCAATTTTCAAGTTCCAGTCGTTGTCCATTTATTCATTTCCTAGGCTTATTTTGTGGTTTCTTAAAATATTGTTTTTTCTATGTATGGTTGTTAACCCTACGATCAACCCCCCAATCTAGAGAACCAGACTACCCCAACCAACTGAGGTCATGGTAGGGCTATTGCGATATACCAAGGTACATGGGGCGATGGGCGGGCCACTCTGCGAGAAGGATATTATTCTTAGTATATATTAAGAAAATAAAGATTTAATAAAACTACAGAAATCAATTATTTGAATGGTGGATTGGCAAGATATTTCCTTTGAAGAAACTATGTATTTTTCTGTACGGATTACACTTGGTTTGATTCTCTTCACTGAGGTTAGGTTATTGAAGCACCTTGTGATATACGACATTCTTCGTTTTATTATCAGGTGCAAAACAAATGAATTGTATGGCTTTTCCATCACTTGAACATGCCACGAAAATTGACCATGAGAAAAAAATTAGTTTTCTAAATTCAGACTACAAACACTCAAGGATTATCCTTGTGATTAGTTAATCGCGATGGAGAATGCAAAACAAGTCGGAAATTGAATTCATTTAAACTCAAATGGCATATCGGTTGGGACCATCGGAATCCTCAATATGAAAACTTTTTCACCTCTAAATTTTCTTTTGAGTATCGTCGCGTGATTCACATTGATCATCAATTTTCTTATCATCTAAGACGTTCCATTTCATAGTTTGGGTTGGTATAGATTTCGAAGCATGATGACTACAGTGTCCACCTTAAGTTGTGAACTCTGCGATGGTAAGCCTAACATATCCCAGAAGTTTAAAAATTCAGTTGGATATTTGGTGGCTAGATCTTTGTTTATTACACAGCCAATAGATTTAAATGAATGCAGAGTTATGCTGATTCAAAATTACAAAGTTTAAGTTATCCATATCTTTATTCTTCGCTACTTAAGTTGCTCGCTCACTCAATCATTCGTTATTTTTGGAGTTAGCAATGATTTTTGGGAATACTTTGTTGAATAACTCACCTATCGATGAGACAAAATTGCAAAAATTCGGAAGAAATGAAATAAATCCACTGGATTCGTCGACAGAAAGCCAGAAATTTCTTGGAGAAATCTTGAGCAGATGGATCGTTCAGCAAGACAACTCTCATGTTTGCTGACAGCTGAAGTTTCTTCACATAGCACCACAGATTGCATGGTTTGAGGCAAGCGTTTATTTCATCGGCAGCAATTGATCTTGGAATGACCTAACCTAAATTTGGAAATCGCCAGACAGTAAAATCATTGCGCCTCTAAAACATCTAGAGTCATTGTGCAGATTCTTCAATGTTTTGTCAAGTGCTTTCAATGCGCATTTGTTCTCCATTGTGCTTTTGTCAAATATGATTATCTTAGATGCTACTAAAATTTTGACTATGCACAGTGTTGAGACTTATCTAGATAAAAAATTACTCATCTATTATATTATCTAGATAACTATTGTGCCATTTATCTATTGGTTATCTTAGATGTCATATTTACTTATCTAGATAAATTTATCTAGATACATTTATTTAAATCATAATATTCATTTTTCACGAATTATTCAAACATTATTCATTTTTTTTTACTAAAATTGTTCTTTCAGAACACTATCCAATCAGTACATGTTATTTATATAATATTACTATATTCCCATGTTTTACTAGCAAATTTTAAGTTGATACGTACCTACTTTGAGGAATGAGACATTATTTTACGTAGTTTTCGACAAAATAAATTGTGTACCTTGGTATGGATAAGAGATAATATGAAATGTATAATATTATGTAATTTATTATTCAAAGTGAGGGTATAATTGTGTCTTAACCTAGTGGCTTACACATTAGATGATTAATCACCGAATTTAAATGAATTTTATTTTGCGCGATTTATCGCCATGTTTCTGAAAATAGAAGGACCCGCACGATCAATCGACACACAAAATAATAATAATATAAAATATTATCATAAAATTATCGAAATTAATTCGTGGTATTGTGGCGACAGTATTCTTGATTATAATACTAGCACCTATTTATAATGAATGTTGGTAATAACGGTTGACGATATCAACAATAATTCGCGTAGGCTACACATTTGTACACATTTTATAACTGTATGTGCAAGCCGCCAGGTGCCTATTAATTACAAGTTATTTTATGTTCACATAGGTAAAGAAGTAAGCACATTTGCAATTTAAAAATACATACTAAAAAAAATAATTTTATCTATAATATTATCTAGATAAAGGTTAGATGATCTTTAACTTATCTAGATAAATGTAAAATATATTTATCTTTATCTGTATCTAGATAATTTTTTATAAAATTATCTGTATCTTATCCAGATGAAATTTTCGTTATCTATTCTCAACACTGAGTCTACGCGGAGTATTTCACAATGTTACATGTCAGTTGTTCAATCGTTTGTTGGTTTAACAACAATTTTAACACTGAATGAGCAGCACGGCATACTTTTTACAATGTGGCCGCTATTAAGGAAAAAGCAGCTGCTACCGCAATGTCTGATCCAAACAAACAGAGGCCAAAGTCAATAACATGAGGAATGTCTTATTAGTTCCATGGAGGGCATCCAAAGAAAATAAGCCACCCTTTCCAACATCAATTGCCTTCATTAATCATTATATACATTCATCATATACTTCCTTCTATTCGTGATTTAACAGGGGAACATTCCTTTGAACTGATTGGTCTAATTCGTGGCGATCATATTCACGTTCACGCTCCAATTCTCGATTAAATGAGTCTCTCGTTTCACGATCTAGCACTGGCATTCCTAACCTGACAAACCAACTGTGGTAACTAATGTCTTTGATTAAGAATAAAGTATGGTTATGCATCTCCTCATTCACCTCAAGTTGAGAAGCACTAAGTCAGGCCATACTCGTGCGATTTCTCGTGTATTTCTCCTTTTTCAGTGGATTGAATCACAATGTTAAGAAGCCTAATTACGGCTTTGCAAGTAAAGATTAGATCTTCTGGGTCGTGGTATTTCTGATTACAAAAATAATTTTGAGATAATGTCAACTCGGACTATTATTGGTCGTCACTGTCGTCTTCGGGTTAGCAACCTTAGAGTAAACAAAAATATATTGTTATTTAATTCTACCCTAGACAGATATCGCTACAGGTTGTAGTTTTTAGTAGGGTCATCCTATCACCAACTCAACTTTATCGGACAATATGTATGCCTATAAGTAGCTCAATGATGTCTTTTATAGTTAAAAAAAACACATGACAGTTGGTTGGTGGTCCAGTTGTTCTTTAGTTTTTGAGTTATAACTTAAAAATTGTGTAACGAACCCGACTTCGTTTTATTTATAAAATATAGATATTGTATTTTTTCTATTTTTTTCCTCTAGAGTTTGCGTTATCTAAAATGTTATCTAAAATTTAAATTGTTTAAAAATCAGAAAAACAAAAAAAAAATAGCTATCGTGAAAAAACAAACTTGAACGTTTAAAGAAAAATATCCTTTGCGGTTTCTAAAAACTTCACCATCTGGACCACCAGGATTTTGAATTTTGATATGAGTGCAGTCTATACATCCGCTAATGCCTGTCATTTTATACATTTTATAAAACTGCTCTTGTATTAAACTCCATTCTTCAGCTGTATTTGGAAACTTAACATAATGTTTACATTGGCTTGCTAAACTTTTTGAAACTCTTTTAATTATATGAGATACTGTTGCTTGACTAATTCCTCTGATATCACCACTAACTATCTACAGTTACATTATAATACATTAATTAGGTAAATAATTATTGTTGATATTATTACTGCAATTGAGTTACTTGAAAATTTGATGATGCATAAAATCCTAAAGCAGTTAGAAGCTGAAGGATCGGATGAATTGGTAAACCTCGATTAATTGAATGACTTATATTTGAAATCAGGTCCAACAAAATATCTACTACTGTTTTTTTGGAAAACCTATTATTCATTATTATAATGATATTATAAAGCCATTTTTTGTTTGTTATTTTATTGCATAAATATAAGAATTACTTACCTGTATCTCTTATAGAATTCCAAATCCGAAAAAAATTCTAATGGATTTTCAAAATCCCTTAAATATCTTCTTGGTGTAGGTTCTTCTAAGTATTGAACAAAATCAATAAACTCATTAAATTCCATTAATTCTTCTATTTCACAATAAATAAACAATAATAAATCACTTTAAACAATAGTTTGTTAAAAAACAAGAATTGTACAAATTATAACTACAACAAGTTAAAAACAAATGTATGGTGACAACAAAATAAACGTTTACGGGATGGTTAGGTGATGAATATTGACCACTTAACTTTACGGACTACTTTATGTACTAACAAACCCATAATTATGACTATGCAATGCAAAGTTACGGGAATTCTCTCATGTGTTACCTAAAATCATTTAGGTGTTACTTAAAATGACTATGCATACGGCCCTAGGATTTGGAACTTTATGCTTTAAAAAATAATGAAATATGTTAATTTTTAAAATAAACATCTAGTATTCATATATTATTTTAATAAACCTAAAAAATAGATAATTTTTAATATTGAAGGTTTTATTATAATATTTTTTGGTGTCAATAAGCAGTAAAGAGAGTTGTTTTGTAATTTTGGAGATTTTTGGTTGGTGAATTGAGTCGTTTTGATTAGGGTTAGGGGACCCTGGATAGAGGATTTTTCCTGGCTTACACTTAGGTGAGTTTTAAGTATTTCATTTCGGTGGGGTACAAAGGTAAATCGCTTCCACGCAAAGTACCCCGGGCAACGTCCTACACGGATAAAGATTTACCAACTGTCTACATAATATATCTCGATATACAATTTTAACAACAACAAAACAGTATCACTCATCAGAAAAACGGACCTAATCAGGGCCAACTAACTTGAGACGCGAGTGCTCAACTACACGTATTACAATCAAATATTGAAGGAATCAGTCTCAACAGAAGTGAATACCTCTCTAGAATCACCCTTGAAAATGATGTCTCAGTTATATTACTCCAGAAAACTCATATACATGACATAGAACAAATTACAAATAGAGGAACAACCCAAGGATGTAACTTATCATCTGCATCCTACCGCAGAAAGTAGAGCTTTAGTTTATCAACAAACCTGGGAAAATATTAGTATACTCGAATAAAATAATAATATATCATTCTTATTAGTCAAAATAAACGATCAAAACATTATTAATGTATACAAACAACTCAATGTGGAATGGAATAACTCTGTCCTACAATCTCCGAAGCACCCCAATCCAATAGCAAGTGACCTTAATAATCACCACCAAACACGGCGATATGACAACAATGATGCGAATTGAGAAATACTAAACGAATGGGACGAGAGAATGTATCAACCATATTTAATACAAAGGACTTAGGTACATTTAGATCCAGAAGATGGCAGAAGAATATTATAATCTTAATCTGTGCTTCACAACGAGAAATGAGAACGGCCAAACACCGCAAATCAGAAGAACAATATTGAATCATTTTCCCCTAGAAGCAAACATCGCCCCATCATTATTAGCATTGGAATACAGATCCTGATTGTAAGTTCAGTACAGAAACCTCGCTTTAACTTCCAAAAAGCCAATTGGGAATCATACAGCCGCTAACTCGACGACTCATGGGCGGATAGGCCCATCGGGAAATCGGGATTTTACCGGTAGGCCCCCATCAATATTATGCTCAGAGGCTCAAAACCCGAAAAAAAAAATTATTTTATGAGACTGTAAAATAATACCGGCTGCGTATTTGTAATTTTTGTATATACCATCAGCTATTAGGGGCCTTTGTGTAATACGCGTTGATACCCGTATAAATGTATAATAGGTACCTATTTTGTTGTATTTACTATCATGCTACTAAAACTAAATAATGTATAAAATGTAAATATAAATAAATATGTTAGTTGTTCAAATGACAAAAATAAACAACCAAAATAATAATTAATAAATAATAATCAATAGGTAAGTATATTAATATAAATTAAATTTTCCACGAGTGATAAGGATAACTATAACTACTTATGACGTATCTGATATCTAAATTTATATAAATGTATTATATCTTAATAATTTCGACTTGTTCTATTTTTAAACCATGCTTATCAATATTCAATGTGGATGTTGATAATAATATCATATAACTGTTTTGTTTTTACTCTATGCCAGTATGCTCTATGGTATAAACCGATTATTAATTTTATTAACTGTTATTTTTATTTTATCTTTTGGCTTTCTATTGTAGTCGTGGTTTTTAAGTTTTTGCTAATTGTGTTTTAATTATTAAATAATATAAATTATACTACAATAATGTCGAAACGAAAATTCGAAAGTGGAGCTTCAAAAAGAAAAAGAATGGATCAAGATTTGTTAATTAAATGTGCCTGCGATAAAACACAAAAAAAGTTAAATTTTTATTTAGCAAAAAATACCGGTAAGTAATATTAGCTTAAAGCTTTACTAATATATGGTTATTGGTCATATAATTAAATTTTAAATTAGGAGCATTAAGCCTATAGGAACTGATTCTTCGGCAATGTATACACTTTTTGTTTCATTTTGTAGTTATACAAATTATATTGTTATTTATTATACAATATTTTTGTAGGAACAAAATATATTTAACATAAACCAAATAGTAGACATGTTCATATAATACCGATACCAAATTTATTTACAATATTGTTACCTATTTTACTTAATACAATGAAAGATAAAATTAAATAATCAATATTATTCAATCATTTTTAAACATCTTAAATATAATATTAGAGGATGGAATTATAGGTGTAAGTACTTATGCATATTTTTATTCTCCGGTAAAAACTAAAAAAAAACTATAATAATTTAGGTACATTTGTTTTTGTTTTTAATTGTTTAATTAGTTTTAAAGGGTTTAAATGTTTTTGGTAAATTATTTTTTTTGTACATCTGAGGTTTTTTTTAGCTATACATAATATGTTAGCTGGTGATAGTGATAATATAAGTCATGAGACAAAAGCGTGGTTGTTTTAATTTTAGTTAGGAATAATTAGGGTACCTAGGTGTAATTATTTGCTGTAGCCTTTTCAAACATAAATGATAATTTAATTTTCCAACTATTAGATGTTCTTGGTACAAATAAACAGTGTAAAGTAGAAAGTTTACCCCTAGAAGAACAACACCATGGAGATGTAAATGATTTGAGTAGCTGCAATAACAATTACGAGATCCAACAACTCAATGAATTTTTTATGAATACTATTTTTTAAATATTAATTTAATAATACAAAACTGAGTGCATAATATAAATAACAGCTAAGATACTAGGTACAAAATAATTAATTATAAGTATTATAAACAAAATTACTAAAACAAGAATATAATTTAAATTTAAATTTATATCACTACAAGTTTGTATCTACATTTAGAACCATGAAAACAGAAATCCTAAAAATGTAAAATAATATATTTGTCACCATTTAATTCAGAATTTAATTTTTCTAATTTGACATGTATTTCAATTATGACCACTAAGATTTTAATTTTTTTTTTTAGAATTCTGATTTGAATTTGTTTACAAGACCTTCCACAGCTAATTTTGCAAAGTACTGGTTATTTTATCCCAATCAACCAAAAATTGGTGTATCATTTGCATATAAAAAAACTTATTTTCGAATTGATGGAGAAAATCGTAAATGGGTGTCGTATAGATCCATTTATAAATCTCTATTTTATTGTATTTGCCTTTGTTATGGTGACGGATCCAGATCCAGACAATTCTCTAAAGGATTTATTGACTGGAAACATGTGTATACTCGAATAAATGAACATGAAAATTCAAAAACCCATAGATTAAATGTAGATGCTCATGTTATGAAAAAACAATTTTCATTAATTGATTCATCATTAACTTATGGCCATAGTTCAATAAGGAAAAAAGAAATAGAAAATAGAAGGCAAATTTTATTTCATATAATTGATATTATTAAATTAATCGGTAAACGTGGACTCAATTATCGAGATAAAACTAACGAAGCCATTTATACTCTTGATAATCCATCTAGACCACGGTAATTTCTTGGAAATGATTTTACTAGTGGGCAAGTATGATCCAGTACTCAAAGCTCATTTAGATAAAGCAATTAAAAATAGTATAAAAAGTCATGATTCTGGTTCCAAACAAGGAGGTGGGCACATAAGTTTTTTATTTAAAACCACAGTCAGTTACATTATTGAGATAATAAGTGAAATTATAAAGTCATAAATTTCTGAAGAGATCATTAAAGCTGGAATGTACTCTGTACAACTTGATACTACTCAAGATGTCTCTGTGATTGACAAATGCTCGGTTATTATAAGATATGTAAACGGTACTTCTGTAAAGGAGCGATTAGTTGGCATGATAAAATGCAAGTCAAGCAAAGGGATAGACTTTATTGATTTAGTCTTAAAAGTTTTTCATAACCTGAACATAAAAGCAAATAACTGTGTAGGCAATGCAACTGATGGAGCTGCAAATATGCAGGGCCAATGTAATGGTTTTTTTGTAAAACTAAGTGATGTAGCAGCTAAACAAATACATGTATGGTGCTATGCGCATGTATTGAATTTGGTAATAGGTGATATTACTCTTAAAGTATTACAATCTATTACTTTATTTGGAATTTTAAATGGGTGTGCATTCTTCATACGCGAATCACACACCCGTATGGATGTTTGGACAACTATGAATTCCAGAAAAAGAGTTTGTACTATTGGTGAAACTAGATGGTGGTCAAAAGATGCTTCTTTAACCAAGGAATTATGTACGAAGACTTTCGAAATGAATATATAGACTTCATATCAAAATGGAAAGAAATAAAAAAAAATATTGACTGTGTATATTCTGAACTACAAAACTGTGATGAAAATATTGATGGTAATAACAAAAATAACTACTATTTATAAATGTATTAATTTACCTACCTATTTAATATTTATAGTATAATTTTAATTTTTAATTTTGTTTTTTTAGAATGTTCAAATGATGTTGAACTTTTAGTATCGTGTAGTCATAATCCAAACACGAATGCAAACTATTGTGTAGTTTGTTGCTTTGATGTGCTTGTGAAGTACAACTTATATATTTTTTTTTTAATACATAATATAATATATAGGCCCTAGTTATATGAGGCCCCAATAAGTATATCCCGGTAAAAAAAGTAGTAAAAGTACCTATCCGCCCATGTGACGACTGCATTAGGTGAATCAAACCGAAGACGGAAAACTGCGATCGGTTCGTGTGCCTTGTAATAGGAATTGTTAAAAAAAATATTCCAAGAGGCCCTAGGAAAGAATATGTCATGGGATGGAGATGCATCTCCAGATGCACTAGCAAATCGTACAATTGAACTCACAAGAGTGACAGTAGACAAGAAAGTCAGAAGAATCTTAAAAAATTAATTAAGTCAACTAACAGTAGCCACGGAACAAAAATCTAGCTACCCAAAAAACTTTGAAGAACATGAAATAGACACTGCAATAAATAATATTAAACTAGGCAAGGCTGCTGGGCTTGACGAAATCTAAACAGAACTTATTAAAAATACTGGTCCTAAGACCCGATAGTGGCTAGAAAATTATAGAGACATTCAAGAAACCGGAAAATTACCTATACAGTTCTGGAAAACAAAAATTCTGATAGTCCTTAAGCCTGGCAAATTTAACAAGGACGTTAAGATTTACCGCAATATCTCTCTCCAAGTGCCAGTTATAAATTATGAGAAAGATATATAAGATATTTAATAGAGTATCGGACCCCATAAACACAATTACTCCCATAGAACAGCTGGTTTTAGGCCCAATAGAAGCTGCAGTGACCAGGTACTGTCCGTAGCCACAGGTATTGAAAAGGGCTATGAACTATGAAGATTAAATGAAAACTGCAAAAGCATTTATTAACCTAACGGCGGCCTACGACACAGTGTGGCACGAGGGCCTAATCACCAAATCCCTAAAAATCATAACCTGTCTGATCCTATGTAAAATAATCAAAGAAATGGTAAGCTACCGACAGGTAGTCATAGAATATAACAACACCTAGTGCTTAACAATGGACTTCCACAAGGTTCAGTCTTGTCTCTATAATATTTAACCTTTATATTAGTGATCTACCAAACACTAAATCGATCAAATATATGTACGCTGATGACATTTTTGTGGTAACACAGGAGAAGACCTATGAGGCATGCAAGGTGTACCTTACCAATGATATGGAAATACTAAATCAATACCCTCCAAGACCGAAGTAACACTATTTTGCCTAAATAACAGACAAGATAAGCATGAAATAAATATTATTTTCTATGGAAAAGAAATAGCCAACAATCATACACCGTCATATCTTGAAGTGACAATAGATAGGACATTGACTTACAAAATCCATTAAATAAAGATTGCAAAAAAAATCAAAACACAAAATAATGTTATCAGAAAACCTGCTAACACTAACTGGGGATCTAATCCTAACACATTAGGAATGTCAGCAATGGCTCTTAACTACTCAGTTGCCGAGTACTGTGCCCCGGATTAACTCCGCTCACGTGAATAAAATCTATCCACAACTTTGTCTGTAAGAGATTTAAATAATAATAAAAAATATGTTCAGGTCCTAATTGAGTGGATCTTAAACTTGTACATCCAAATTTAAAATTATACTACCTTTATCTGAACTAAATTCTACAAAAATAAACTTCAATATATATATTAAAATTATTATTATTCTTGTTATTGTTACTTCACTATTTTTAAACTTTTACTTGTAAGTTGTGACTGAGTTCTGTTTTATATATATTTACTCATTAGTTGTGTTTTGTATTTATCTATTAGTTGTTACCTGTGTAATGTTTTGCCATGCGATAAAAAAATAATTGTGGGGTTGTCGTGGAGAACTTTTATAACTCAATTATTGTTATGACCGGTTAGATTGAACTGCAGTATCCTTTATTCTCCAATGAAAGAGTAAATAGGCCTATTGTTATTGTTCAGTCCTATGCAACAAAACGGTGATAAGGAAATTACCGCCACCAATACTTCACTACACGGCTGCGATCCGCTGTTTCAAGTCTGTCGTTGTTGAGCGTGTACGACGTGTCGTGTTCGTTGTTCGTCACCTAACGCTCGTACGTATACGACGGTCCGTACTTTTAACCGAGCAGAGTTTTTATATGTTAGTTTTGTTACCATCACAGTCAACCTTCACCGTCCACCATACACCGTCAACTATCACCGTCAACCATCACCGTCCACCGAACACCGTCACCTTCAATCCAAAGGAAAAGTCCGCATCACGCTGTCGCATTTACGGTTTTGTACACCAACATTTTTATATTATATTTTTGTATGCCATATGGTGATTTCTAGTTTTAAGCATACCGTCTAGCTGGCCAGTACCTATTGTACCCATTTATAAAATCTATTGTTAAGTTTGTGTGTAAAATAGTTGGCCGACACCCCGGCATTCGTACATGAGATCGTGTTATTTTTTATTCTTCTTACCTAAAAGAAAACTTTATTATACAGTCCACTTTAGTCTTACCCAACAGTTATTTATCTATGTAAATATCAACATTCAATTAACACCTATGATTATTTATTATCAATCGACAGTCATGTGCGATGTACTGTGTATAGTATTATAAGTATAATATTAGTGTTATTTGATCTATTTTGCAAAATATCAATATTACTGTGTTTGTTGTGAAAAGATTTTGACGATATTGCATAAAATAGTGTTAAAAAACAGGGACAAAATATTTAAATAATTGGTTCAATTAAAAGAAATTCTGTTTAGCAAACTTCCTTTATTAAGAGATTGCTTGAGAGTTGTAAACAATTCTCAACTGTTACACCCGAAATGCATATTACTAACTGATAAGGCAATAGCCAATGAATTACTTGATTTTGATGTTGAGATTCGTATATATCTCTACCTTTTTTTCCCCCGTGGTATCGAAGGACAGAGAAGGAACCATGTTACCAATACTTCTCTGGCCACCGTCGTTTATTGAGAAGTCATTAACATAAGTAACTAGCAGTGGTGGGCTAGTCTCCGGCTCACTTGCTATTACAGCTGTATCAATACATAGAATACAGTATGGGAGACTCTATTCTCCCTAACTTGCCTTCAGCTACAGTACAATAGACTTAACTAGATTGATCTTCGGAAACCAGGGACCGGAGCACCCTTTTTTTTTCTTCTGAGGCCTGCCGAGCTCTTTCCTCGTCCTCTATCGCTGACAGGATGCGCTCCACCATTCTGTAGAACTATCTGAAGACTTCCTCAGCTTCTCTCAGTATCACAGATTTCTCGGTCGGGACCGCCGTGGGCAGTTCAAACCCTGAACCGCAGAAGATATCCGGGAGATCGGCGGCACTAGGTCGATGACCTAGACCAGGGGTCGAGAACCTTTTCGTAGGAAAGAGCCATTCTTTCAAAAAAATACAAAACTATGATATCCATGGAGCCGCGCAAACAGGTTTTAACAACCTTTTTTTTTTTTTTAGTAGGCAATAAAAACATAATAATACGTCTTAAATTTAGAAAACTTTATTTAAACTTTATTTCATTAATTCATTATTATTATTATTGTTTATATAAATATCTATTTAATATTAGTGGGATTTTTGACACTGAATTTCTCCAGACAGCTTATTTAATTCTGGAGAGTAATCAGTAGTTCTCAACTTCAAACAAGCATTAAGGCTGATATCATTCAGTTGATTCCTTAATTTAATCTTAATAAAGTTCATATTTGAAAATGTTTGTTCATAAATGTAAGTAGATCCAAAAATGGTCAAAATTCCGAAAGCGACTATTTTTAATTGGCTGAAACTTTCGGGAAGACTGTTCAATACGTCAAATATAACTTGCTCTTCTTTTTGACACTTAGCGAGTTCCGTCCATTCGCAGCTAAAAATCCTTTTTCCCTTTCCAGATTTTCAATATCCGTTTTCAAATTCTCAAATTTTGTAGACCAAAGATCTTTGGTTTTTAGTTCTATTAATTGCAATGAAAATAGTCTTTTGTCGACAGATGGAAACGATGGAAAATTAATTTGTCCAGTCTCTGCTATGAGTGGTGATGTCAAGAACTTCAAGGTAGATTTATATTTTCGAAAATCTTCAAAACGTCTACTAAACGAATTTTTCATGGATTGAATGGCCGATTTAAAATACTCCAAATCAATAATACAACCTGAGCTTTCCGTGTACTCTTTCAAAGATTCAAAATGATCAAGATTTCCACTGTCAATATCTTCTGAAAAAAGCTGAAGTTGTTGTTCGAAAGAAAGGACAGTTTCCAGTGGTGTATGTGCTGTATTTCCCTTACCTTGAAGCTTTTTAAGTGATTTAGAGATGAAGTCAAATCTACAGCAAAATACAATTTTTGTAGCCACATATCATAGCACAATTCGGGGTAGTTGATGCCTTTATTCGTTGAAAAATCTTATATGGGTTCGAAACAATCTGTAAAGCGCTTCAAAACGGCCCCTTTCGATAACTAACGTACATTATTGAACATTAGAAGATCCTTGTATCGGGCATTAACTTCATCAAGTAATGCACGAAACTGTCTATGGTTCAGAGCTGAAGCTATGATTTTGTTAATAATTTTCACTACTAGTGCCATGACTTGGTTAATTTCAACTGGAAATGTTTGAGCACATAAAGCTTCTTGATGAACAATACAATGAAAAGATAGTAGTTCATGTTTCATATTTTGGCCAAAAAGAGTAACAAATCCTTTATATTTACCAACCATATTTGGTGATAAATCAGTGCAAAGAGATATCAGCTTATCTAAATTGATTTCTTTCTCTTTACAAAATTCTGTAATTGCAGCGCAAATGTCCTCTCCTCGAGTTTGTCCTTTGAGCGGTAGAAAAACCCAGTAATTCTTCATAAACACCCGTAGACGAAACATACCGTCCCATTAAAGTGAGTTGAGCGATGTTTTTAACGTCACATGATTCATCACAAGCTAAGGAAAATACTGGTGATGACTTCAAATCGGAAAACTGTTGTTCTGTGACATTTTCAGCCATTTTAACAGCTCTATCACGAACAGTAGTTGCCGACAACGGAATATCCTTTATTTTATTGATTATTTCTGTTTTATTTTTAAATTCAGAAAAGAGATGTTCTGACATACCAATAAAACATTTTTTAATATATTCTCCATCAGTGAATGGTTTTCCAGATTTCATGATTTCGTGAGATACAACAAACCTAGCTGCAGTCAAATTAGACGCCGACTGCAACCAGTTATTAAATTTAGATGTCGATTGTTGAGATTTACGAATCAACTCGGCCACTGCTGTTTTTCTTTCATTTCCAGATGGGTACGTCTTACCAAAAGAATCGTGTTTAGATAAAAAAAGACGTTCAATATTAGATTTTTTATTGTTTTTGAAGTTTCGTCACAAATAAGATATTTTGGCTGTCCCGTGTTGTTCGGGACAAATGCATAAGTATCAGTCCACTCACTTCTAAATCCTCTATTTTCCTCGTCAATTTTACGTTTTTTATTTGTAGACATCTCGAAGTTTATAGAAATACCTCTATTGGAAAAAAAGCACAAGAAAAAAATACCAAACAACGTCGCACTGATTGAATTGACCTGACGAGGACCGTCCTCACGTATCGACTAATATAATTTTGTATTCTACCGAATAATGATAGTCGAGTGTAATAGAACACACACATATATATTATATACACAATAACACTAATTTTGCGATAAGATTAATAAATAATTATTGATAAATTCATAATTATTATCGTTATAATAACGTATAATATAATTTATATTTTACGGATATATCTATATTGATAATTATCCAAAGAGCCGCAGATTGCATGTTCCCGACCCCTGACCTAGACGGACGCTCAGAGGACACATGAACAATGGGTTCTCGGTGGTGTCGGATTCGTCTGAACACTGGCAGCAGCGTGGGGAGGCAGCTCTGGATATTCGATGTAGGTACCACAGAAAGCAGCCGTGGCCGGTCAGTGCCTGAGTCATGTGAAACGTCAAGGCACCCACAAGAAGGTTCTTCCTATTCATCTTCCAATATCGGGAATGGCGCGACGTGTCCATGCCACTTTCGTGGTAGATTTCCGTCTCACCTGCCACAGAGCAGTTGTGGTTTCCTTTCTTCACATTTCACGGCCACTTTAGTTGGCCGTAAATCTCCGGGCTCGGTTTCAGCAAGCAGACGAGGCCCTAACCTGAGCCTCTCGAGTCCTATGACATCCACCGGCGGTGTGCTGGCCAGAACCAGAGCGGAATCGTCCGAGACGGTACGGTAGGCTCGGATCGTCCTCAGGGCGGCGGTCCTCTGCAGGCGGATCAGATTCACCTTGGAACTTGGCCACGTTGATCCATGCCGGTACGGCGTACAGTAGCTGACTATCCATAACGGATTCGAGCAGTTTCTTCTTCCGTTGGGCTGGACCTCCTATATTCAGCATCAGCCTGGTCAGAGCTGCAGAGAGGATCGTCTTTTTCGCCACGGAGTTGACTTGTGCCGCCAAGGTGAGCCGTTTATCGAGAATCACTCCGAGGTGTTTGATCTCGTTGTGGATAATAATCTGGTTAACACCGGTCATTAACCGAGAGGCAACGAACGCCCGCCTCCAGGAGAGTATCACCACCTCCCTCTTATGTTGGGCCATACCCAAGCCATTACTCACCATCCAGCTCTCGATCGTCGTCAGAGTAGGGTTGATGACGTCTTCCAGAAGCTGGACAGCCATTCCTACGACCGCGAGGTCGTCGGCAAATCCCACCAACTAAACTCCGGGCGGCACATCCATTTTCAGCAGGGAGTCAAATGTGACATTCCATAGTGCCGGGCCTAGCACGGACCCCTCGATGACCTCAAGGAATTTAATGCGTTCTTCACGTCCAACGTCACTAGGACGCTGAGCCTTTTCTCTCCCGGCGTGGCAGCTGCCTGAGTGGCGATGCTGTGGACTTTGCCGACTGCCGATTCCGTACTGACTCTCTTCCTAAACCCGTACTGGTTGGGGGCTCTTCTCCGCCCCCCATGCGCGTCGAGGTGCTCCTCGGAGTCTTTGAAGTAGGAGCCATTCGATCAGCTTTCCTGGGATGTCAAGCATGCAGATCGGCCTATAGCTTGGCGGGGCGTCCGGGGTTTTGTCTGATTCTTTCTGTAGTAGCACAAGCCGTGCCCTCTTCCATCGGGGAGGAAAGTTAGTACTTCAAGGCAGTTGTTGTAGACTCTAAGGATTGCACGAAGCTGGGTAGACGGCAGAGCCCTGAAAACCTCGTTGGAATCCTCGAAGGACCTGCCACCTTCCCCGATACGAGTCTCTTGGCAGCTTTGCGCAGGTCTTCCAGGGTGAACTCTGGAATGGTTCTCGTGAACTCCAGCGTCCTCCGGTCTGGGTTAAACGCCTGAAAGTTGTCGATTACAGCCGGAGACGTAGTCAAGTCCCAATTCGTGTGCAGCAGGGAAAAAGGAGTCGGCGATCACTGCCTCCCCGCCCCTGGAGTCTGCGGTCGGGTTGCGAGTGCTTAACTTTTTCATAAACAGCTTGTAAGGTCCACCCCCAGGGGGTCAGTATCCATCCGAGTACAGAGGTCCACGCAGAACTTGCTTTTCACCTCACGGATGGCGATGTAAAGCCCTCTTGGCCCTGAAGTAGGAGAACCTCGCCTCCTGGGCCCCGCGATTTATTTATTAGAGTTGCTCTCCCTCATTAGTTATAAGTCTTCACACACACATATATACACACCAACACATACACCACACACTAGCGCTCTCGAGTTTTGCTCGGCGATCCCGTCTACCTCTCTTGAGTCGCTAAACATACATACAAACAAATACACAGGTCGGTCGGTGTGTTAATCGCATCGGTGAACGGGCACAAACAATGTTATTGTTTGTTCCCGGCCTTAACAATGGCGAAATCTTGAAAGAAGTAAAAAGTGAAGAAATGGAAGTCACAAACTGAATGTGGAAGAATTTGAAGATTTGGATAAACTATTCGACACTGCTCATTCTAATGTATATAATAAAAATTCAGTTGGACTGAGCACTTTTAATTTCTTAACGAAATCCCGGTCCTCATGTTAGTAGATGTGAATTAAACATATCATGAATAATGAAAAACTGATAGAATCGAAACGGAAATCGCAAAAAAAAATAGGTACAACTCTCAACTTTCAGAATCTACCCTAGCTAGTTATTAATTAAAAACTCTTAAAAATGACTTATAAGTTATTTAAATATTAATATTTTAGTTGAAATATCAACATTTTCATGTTCAGATGGGTCCGGAAATGTGAGCATGGAAGTGAAGTTAACTCAGAGAACTGTTGTTCTAGCCAGTCAGGATATAAAAGGGAAAAGAAATCAATAATGACAACACAACTATCTGCAGCATTAAATAAGTGCAAGTTTAGTAATTAATAATTATTAATATCAATTTATCTTATTTATACAGGTATTTATATTAACAGACTCAACAATTATTTAAAACATTTGAGAAAATACAACCTTTTGTAAAACAAATTCAACTGAATAGAAGAATAATACCTTTTACCGATCCGGTTTGATAATGATTCCTACATTGTGTAAACTGCTGAAAGTAGTGTAAAACTCACAAAAAAAGTTAAATGAAAAATGCACCGAAAATGTAAAACAAAAACAATGTTTATTGCAAGTTAGTAAAATTAAAAGAAAATTAGTATTATACTAAAAAAACATTATTTTTTTCTTAAGGTTATTCAGAAATACAGAAAAACTTATTCAGAATGCTCAAAAAATCCTTGAAGCTTCAATTTTCATAACTTTTATAATTTAAAACATATTTTTTAAGACTTTTGATCTATAAACAATGAATAAATACATTCAAATCACGGTAACAAAATCAATTTACCTAATACCAATAATAATCATTTTAACATAATAAATTAAACAATTTGAGTTATATTATTTTAGTGCTAAGATTGTGATATAATGTATTATTATTATTTGTTGAATGTGGTACGACTGTACCCACACAATGTTCAGCTGTTAATGTTATAGGTTAAAAAGTAGTATCGTTCTCTTTA